GGAAAGAGTTCTTCAACTTTGTTATTTTGTTTTTTGAGATTATTTTGACTATTTGGGATCCTCTGCAATTAATTCCATATGAAGTTTAGAATAGACTCTTCCATTTCTACGAAAAGAGTCACTGAATTTATTTATTTATTTAGAGTCAGGGTCTCACTTTGTTGCCCATACTGGAGTGCAGTGGCATGATTATGATGATCACAGCTCACAGCAGTCTTGACCTCTTGGGCTCAGCATTCTGAGTAGCAGGGACTATAGATGTGTGCCACCATGCATGGCTAGTTTTCAAAATTTGTTTGTAGAGATAAGGTTTCATTATGTTGCCCAGGCTGGTCTCAAACTCCAGGGTTCAAGCAATCCATCTGCCTTGGCCTCCTGAAGTGCTGGAATTTCAGTCATGAACCACTGCACTCGGTTCATCGAATTTTAATAGGGATTACATTGACTCTATAGACAGCTTTGGGCAGCTATCCATCTTTATAATGCTTTCCAATTCATGAACATGGAATATCTTTCCAAGAAATTCTTTCTTTTACCAATGTTTTTTTAGTTTCGATTTAGTTTTAGCCTCCTTGGCTAAATTTATTTCTAAGTATTTTATTTATTGATGCTATTTAAATGAAATTGTTTTCTTCATTTCCTTTTTGTATTGTTCTTTACAAGTGTATAGAAATACATGTGACATTTAAATGTTGGTCTTGTACCCTGTACCTTTTGCTGAATTCATTTACTAGCTCTAGTAGTTTTTTTCTGGATTATTTGGGATTTTCTACACATACGATCATGTCTGCCAATAAGAAAAGTTTACTTTCTATTCCTATTTTTTTCTTTTGTAATTTTTCGTGCCTTGTTCTACCTAGAACTTCCAGGAAAATGTTAAATAGCTGTGGGGAAAGTGTGCATCCTTGTCTCATTCCTGAAGTTAGAGGGAAAACTTAGTTTTCACCATTGAGAATGATGTTAGCTGTAAGTTACAATGCCCTTTATCATGTTGGGAAAACTGCCTTCTATTCCCAACTTGCTAAATGTTTTCATTATGAAAGGGTGTTGTATATCTATAAATGCTTTTCCTACATCAGTTGAGATGATCATGTGTGTCTTTTGCCTCTTTAATCAAATTAGTGTATTTCATTGATTGATTTTTCTATTGTTAAACCACCCTTTCATTTCTGGGATAAATTCCACTTGGTCATGGTATATAATCCTTTTAATATGCTGCTGGATTTTGTTAGTATTTTTTTGAGGGTTTTTGCATCTATATTCATAAAAGACTATAGTTTTCTTATGATGTCTGTGTGTGACTTAGATATCAGAGGTGGTCTTACAGAGTAAGTTATAAAGTGTTTCCTCCTCTTCAATTTTTTGAGAAGAGTTTGAGAAGGACTGGTGTAAATTCTTTAAATGTTTGGTAGAATTCACCCAGTGAAGCCGTCTGGTCCTGGACTTTTCTTAATTGCAAGATCTTTGATTGATGATGAAATTATTTCTTTGTCATAGGTCTGTTAAGATTTTCTATTTCTTCTTTAGTCAGTTTTGGTAATTTGTGTGTTTTTAAGAATTTGCCCATTTCATCTAGGTTATCTAATTTGTTGGCGTACAATTGTTCATAGTATTCTCTGATAATCATTTTTATTTCTGTGAGGTCAGTAGTAATGTTCCCACTTTCATTTCTGATCTTAGTATTTTGAATCTTCTCTTTTTTCTTAGTTAATCTAGTCAAAGATTTGACAATTATATTGATCTTTTTAAAGAACTAACTTTTGGGTTCATTCATTCTCTCTCTTGTTTTTCTAGTCTCTATTTCACTTCTCTCAACTCTAATCTTTATTGTTTCCTTCCTTCTGCTAGCTTTGGGTTTAGTTTGCTCTTATCTAGTTCCTTCAAGTGTAAAGGTTAGTTATTGATTTGAGATTTTTTCTTCTTTTTAATTTTTCTAACTTTCCCCTTAAAGTCATTTCCTTATTTTTAAACATAAGCTTTTATAGTTGTAAAGTTCCCTCTGGGCACTGCTTTTGCTACAGCTCATAAATTTTGACATACTGTGTTCTCATTTTGATTCACCTCAAAGTATTTTCTAATTTTCTTTGTGATTTCATCTTTGATTCACTGGTTGAGTGTGTTGTTTAATTTCTACATATTTGTACATTTTCCAGTGTTTCTTCTGTTATTGATTTCTAGCTTCATCCATCTTTGGTCAGAAAAGGCACTTCATATAATTTCAATCTTTTAAAATTTATTGAGACTTGTTTTGTGGCCTAATGCATGCTAGAGAATGTTCCAAGCGTGTCTGAGAATAAAGTGTGCTTGACTGTTGCTGAGAGGAGTGTTCTGTATATGCCTGTTAAGTCTAGTTGGTTTATAGCACCCAATAGTTTTAACCAGTATAGTTATATGATCAGATTCCCACTTTTAACATGTCCTTCTGCCTGTTGTGGAGAGCTGACTAGAGGCAGGAAGACAGTAAGAAGGCTACTGCAGATACCCAGGTAAGAGGGGATGGTGCCTGGACTAGCATGGGAAAACCTGGGGAGTAGCCAATGGTTTCAAGAGGTAAGTGGAAGTGGGAAGTAGGCTTCCTGCAGGATGAGACAGACCCTGGGATAACCCACAGGGGCCTGCCTGGAATAACATCTGTGTCCTTGACCCAGCTGGCTGCCATCAGCCAGGCCTTGGTAGAACTACACCAGGCAGTCTTCTCTCATTCAGGGCTACTCCAAGCTGACTCCAAGAAAGGCAAAAAGTTATAAACAACAATTCTCTGACATCAGCCTGAGAACTTAGTGAGGAGGACATTGCCTTAAAGAGAAGCTCACCACAAGGGTTATTTTTCAAGACATAATCAGGTGGCCCCAAACCTTCTATAAACACAAAATAGCTGCCTGAAGAATTCTCCTTCACCTACATTTGTGCTTCAAAAAGCCAAAAGGAGAGGACTCCGACCATTCCAGGCAGTACAAGGTGGCATATACTACCTTGAATTGTACCTGAATGTTTGTCTCTGTCCTGTTTCTTTGCCCAGAAGGGCTACCCCCTTGGCAACAAAAGCTTTGTGCTGTTATCATGAAATCAAGTAAGGTGAGCCTGAGGCTACTCCCTTAGGGGATCCCATCTCTTCTAGAGAAAGTTCAGGTTAGCAATCTCTAGCACTGCTCAGCTAACAGGTACTTCCTTTCCAGTTGCAAACAAAACAAAACAAAAGAACAGGAACAAAAAGGTCCTCCCACTTGCTGTTGCAGGAAAATTGTTCTAGAATGACTAATCTTATAAATGCCACCCTCTATATTATTTTCAGGAAGTTCCTAAAAAAATGAAGCCATTTTATTTATGTATGTATTTATTTATTTATCTTAGAAAGAGGAAGCTAGTTCTGTGGTAAATAGCCTCACTTGGACCATGTGGGTATTCTGAGCCCAGCTGCACCACTAGTCACAGCTTTCACTACAGTAGCTTTCTACAGGCATACAAACCAAGGCCACACATCCTGCTGGGGGTCTCAGTGCAGCCCATATCTGAAATGGCTCCAACCCTCTCCTTCACTGGAAAATGGAGTGGTACCCTGGGGACCCCTGGCCAAGCTCAGCACTCTTGCTAACACACCACAGCTACATGAGTGCTGACCCCAGGGAAACTGTCACCAAGCAGGTGACTCACTGCTCCAAATGGGTGAGACAAAAGAGAAGGCCAGACTGATATTCTATGGCCTTCCATGAGCATTGAAAAGCTAGAGCTGGGGAACAGACCCCAGTGAGGAAGACAGGGTGTGGGGCATGGTGACCAAATTCACTAGCTTGTCTCTTCCTGCTGTATGCTGGAGCTCCTTCCACAGGAGTCACTGTCTCCCAATCTAGCATGTGAGACAATCCTGGAGAGCAGGAGCTATGCCTCCCTCTCACCCGGAGCCCTGCCACACCAAAAAAACACATAGGTCTCTGGAAACACACACCATTCTGCTTATGACTTCTGAAGGATCACAGCTGCCTGACCCCTGCTCCTAGCGTGTAGACACACTTTTCACCCATCAGAAACATTTGATGTCACTCTGGGCAGGCAAGGCTGTGGGGAGGCATGGATTCTCACATACACTGTTGGCATCTCACAGTACAACCCCTGTGGAAGGCAGTTTGACATATCTCACAGAATTACAAGCGCACTCTCCCAATGACCCAGCAAGCCAGCTTCCTGGAAAGTACACTTTGTTTATACTCTTACAAGCATGAAATGAAGCACTTGCAAGTTTACTCATGGCAGTACAGTTGTGTCATGGTAAAATAAGGAAACAACCTAAATGCTCATAAACAGGCTACATGTTAAATAAACTATGATAGCTCCATACAATGAAATACTACACTGTTGTAAGAACAAAGAAGAAGCGTTTTACATACTGATAGGAAAAAAATTCCAACACACATTGCTAAATGGAAGATGATCAAAGTAGAGAACAGCATTTGTTTTGAAATAAGTACCTATCTGAATACATATGTACAGACATAAGTAACTTTGGTTGCCTCTGAGTGGGAGAGCAGGGTGCGTGGCTAAGAGACCAGGAGTCAGATACAGACTTTACTGCATAGGCTTTTGAAGCTACCAGTTTAGGAATCTTACAAAAACATTACATATTTTTAAAAATCTATTAATGTAAAAAATAAAATGCCTCACTCAGGACTTCTGAGTTGACCTCCCACCTTGGTAAAGGCAGCAGCTATGGTTAAAGAATTTTCAATCCCCATAATCAGAGACCAGAAAGGCTGGCCTGAGACACAAGTGCATTATCCTGGACTCCCACCCCCAACTGCTGCTTCTGGACCTAACCACCGCAGCATTGGGAGGGTCCACTGAAGTCTAGGTAACCAGATTTGTCCAAGGTGAGGCACACACAGCCCTTGCCCACCACAAACGTTTCCATCCCAAGAAGTGCTGCCTAGGCAGAATGGCTGAGCATCTCACTGTTAAGGAGATAATAATACCACATGGACACACCCGCCGCTCCGAGCACTCACTACCTGATTGGTTGTTCATCACACGAACAGCCTTGGCCTTGGCCAGCTCCAGGGCAGTGATCCATTGCTGCCGGTCCACCTCTGAGCTGGCCTTGAGATGGTAGCTCCTTGCCCCACTGGTCAGCAAGATACCACAAGAGTCCTCCGTGTCAATGTGCGCAGTGGACAAGTTGATGGTTCCACGGCAGGTGTGGGCCATTTCACCCTGATTTCTGTAGGACGCAAGAGGAAGGAAGGTATGAAGTGAGGCTCTCAGACTCAATAGCTCCAGACTGAAAAGATTCTCCAGGCAAATTCTTAGATCTCAGACCCTCAGAGCTGGGAGAGGTCCTGGAGTAAAAGTTGGGAGATGATGCTTACTGGGACTGACTGATCATGACTTGGTTGAAGAAAACTCCAAGGTCACATTTACCCTCCTGGTGAGAGTGGCAGAAGGATAGAAGCCTGCATCCGTGTCACATGCAGGGCATGGCTGCTGTGGTCTGAGTTCTTTCAAACACCAGGAAATGGAGAAGAGTGACTGTCCAAAGTCCCGCTAGGCAGAGCAGGCCTCGGACTCCATGTCAGGCTCTTTCTGTTAAGTATCAGGACCACTGAGTTAGAGCAGGTTGGGATCCTGCCACTAAAACTGAGATTGGAGACCAGAGACCAAGGGAGTGGATTTGGAGGCATCCCCTGTGGAGTGACCAAGGATCAGTGTTGTCCCTGATGGCTGCCCTTGTCACATCATCAGATCCACAGAGCAAGGATGCCCTCATTGCCCTCATTCTCACTTGGCTCCATAACAGATGAGTTGAAGGCACTGACCAGGTTAACACAATGCTACCTCAGGACTAAGGCATGACTGCATTTGCTACTTACAGAATTATGGAGCTAAAGGTGTCAAAGTAAGAGGTGAATAAAGTGCATGCCATTTCCAGTTGTGATCAATGTCTGGAAACAGAGATCTAATTATCACAACTGGATCTACTTAACTCACTTCCTTACATAAACGAAGGAAAATCAGAACCCCTCTTGACATAACAAATCTCTTTCCATGGAGGATGTTGGAAAAGGAAAAGGGATTTGTCAGCATTTAGTACTGCCAGTGGCAGGAGCTCATTTGGCAATTTTCTACAGCCCTAAATACTCATTTATTTCCCCTGGCTGTTTATCATCTATCATTTTCTTTATTCTTCTACCAGTTCTAAAATCAGATGACTTGACAGTCAGACATTCATCTCTTTTTGAATAGTGGTTGCCTTTTCTGATTCTCTTCTGCTTTGGTCCCATTCATTAGAGAAAACGACAGTTGAAGACAAGTCCAGCTCTTAGGAAAGTCACTCTAATTTACAAAACTGGCAAAGTTGGGCATGCCTGTTGGAAGCCTGATGCTTTAAATTAAAGGACATTTTAGGCTAGAGATTGTTCAGGAGTTAAACAGTGTAGTAACTAACCAAAAATGACTTAGCTCAAAAAGAAGAGGGGAGAGGGCAATGTTCTAGGCAGAGGGAGGAGCAGGGGCAAAGACCTCAAGGCAAGGGGAACTTCACAGCTTTCAAAGAATAGAAAAAGCTTCCTTGAACAGAGCATTAAGAACAAGAGAATAGATGAGAGAAAAATAAAACTAGAAAATCAGGCATGGATCAAAGGCAGTACCTTGTAGGCTACATTAAGGATTTAGACTCTTATCCTAAAACTAACACAGAAGCATCCTGGGCCTAAAATCAGGAAAGAAGCAGGGAAGATCAAGAGTTCCAGAAGCTCTTATAGAAAAATGGGGAATAAAGTGACTTGTGCAGGATGGGAGATGGAATGAGGTCCCTATGTGAAATCAGACCTAGGCTAGAAGTGACCCAGCAAAGATTGTAATGGATTACAACTCATCAACTAAAAAAAAAATACATGAGTCAATACTGATATAAGTAAACAACTGAAGAAATAAACAGAGGAGAGGGAATAGATATTCCTTAACAAAAGCAGATAAAATTATAAACACAAAAGTCACTAAATGCAATGTGGAATCTTGCTTTAGATTATAACATTTTTTAAAAGACTGAAAAAGAACAGTGTAATTCGAATAATATCTAGAGTATGGTTAATAGTATTGCAACAATGTTAATTTCCTGGTTTTGATAATTGTATTTTGATGAGGCAAGATGTTGCTAATATTAAGGGAAGCTAAGTGAAGAGTATATGGAAACTTTCTGCACTATTTTTTGTAACTTTTCTGTAAATCTAAGTTATTTCAAAATAAAAAATTTAATGCTGCTCTCACCTTCTTCCAAGGGTCATAGCTGATATGAAGTTTTGTGTCTAGGACTTGAACTCCCCTGCCTTCAAGCTGAGAGACCGGACTGGAGATATTTTCAATGTCACTGAAGAGCAGAACCCCAAAGGCCCATTATAGGATCTGGTTCTAGGCTGGACTCTCCAGTGGACTAGGTGGAGGCATTTTAAAAACCACTAGACCATGAAGAGTAGAGTGATAGGTGAGGCTGAGGGAAGGAGGGAGGACTTCCCAGTCAAGATGAGCCTGAAAACCCAAATTCAAGACTTGTTAAGAAAATCAACGCAAATAAAGAAGCCAACAAAGTTGACGCTCAAAAGATGAATCACTTCAAACAAAATGAAACTAACAGAACAATATGAAAGGGATTTCGCATAAATAGGTTTAGGATTCTCCAAGATGAAGCAGTAACATCAATATAAAAGGAGGGATAAGTTAATAATACAAAAGCTAATAAAAATGAAACAAGAACAGGTAGATAACAATAAAGTAACAAGAGCAATTCAGAAAATGAAATATAGCAGACTAGCTTCTCTAGTCACCCAATACCCAACTCTAAACTGAACCTTTACTCATTCTAATTATGATGATTTTTTATGAAGGGTCTTGAGAGGATTATTTTAATTTTTCAGTTTTACTTTTCTGCATTATTTGGAAGAAATGGAAGAAATAGTACAGTGAATATGTAAATTTGGGAGCTAAATGTCCTTAAGATTATCAAGGACCAATGCATTTGCTGGTCTTGGAATACAGTTCTGCTCTTTTCTCTTTAATTTAGATGCTTCATGTTCAAACCATTCTTCACCAGAAATCAAAGTATTATTTTTATCCTGTTCAGTTTTTTGAAATGCTCAATGACTTCAAACTCAGTCCTGGAAGAGCCTAAAATTCAGGAACATATCCTAAAATTCAGATTGCTGTTTGGGAGTGGCACACCTGCTCATGTTGTATATAAATGGTATGGTTTCTCCCATTGGGAATTATGGCTATGGTAACTCTCTCTATGAGGGCTGACCTTCCAGGGATACCCAATAGCTCAGATGGTGGAGAAGTTAAAACTCTACCACAGTGTACTATGGACCTGGGCTCTGCAAGCTGCAGTGGCAAGTCTTCTCCCCAAAGGACTGTGGAAGTGTGCAACAACCAAGAACCAGCTTTAGAGGCCTCACTACCAGGCCACATCCTAGAGCCTCCCAGTTGTATCAGAGTTCATATCCAAAATATATGATGATGCATCTCTTGTCATTAAAAAAAAAACATTTTTTTAAATTAGAGTGTCACTCTGTTGCCCAGGCTGGAATGCAGTGGTGCAATCATTGCTCACTGCAGTCTCAACCTCCTGGGCTAAGGTGATCCTTCTACCTCAGCATCCTGAGTAGCTAGAACAACAGGTACATATCACCATGCCCAGCTAAATGTTTTATCTTTTGTAGAGACAAGATCTCACTATGTTGCCCAGGCTGGTGTCAAACTCTTGGACTCAAGCAATCCTCCCAACTCAACCTCCTAAAATGCTGGGATTACAAGCATAAGCCACCATGCCTGGCCTCTATCATTTTTTTTAGGATACATGTTTTGAGGAATTACTTTGATATCTGATGCATTTAGAACAAATAGAAACAAAATATGAAACACCTGCTGTATAATTTCACTGCAAGAGAACTTAGTACAAGCAATATCCTATTAAGTGAGCTACATCGACTCTCAACAAAATAATACTCAGTAGTGACCCCAATCAAGTTCTCGTCTCTGGCAAAGATATCAGCTGTCAGAACTTGGAAGTGAAAAATAGTTAATATAGCACTCTAAGCCGTGAAGACCAGCTGTGATTAGTGACTAACACAGCTGTATTAGACACAAACCTTGTGCATAGTCCCTTCACCACCTCCTCCATTCCCTCTTTTAGTCCCCCATTTAGGTCAAGTCACCACTCCATTTCTGCACTTGGGAGAAGTGCTGCATCTCAGTGTACAGAATCTGGCTTCTTCCACCAAGAAGCTGAGTTTTTGCAACCCACAGCATGGACGTGCTAGAGTCTCAGAGGTTAAACACTGAACAGTGGGAAATGGGAAGTGACTGGGAACCAGACAGGTAAATACTCCTCACTTATCCCCCCTGCAAATCTCTCTAAGGTGTCCTTGCTAACCTTCTGGAGAAATCCACAAGCCTAGAGAACATAAGTGGCCTGAGTGGCCCTTGCAGTTTGCTGTGAAGTGGTGGCTACCCCGAAGGCATCACATCCCTTTACATCTTTCCCTTGCCTTTCTTCCCCTTTTGCCTCCACAATACCAAGGCTCAGCTTGCTAATCCACTGAGTTCCCTGCATGCCAGCAGTAGAGACCAGCACCAGACCCTCCCTGATATGGTCAATTCCTTGGAAAGAACCAGACAGCTGCCAACTATATCAGACCCCTTCCATCTTGGAGAAATAGCAATTTGCCCTTAATGAAATCGATGCACTTTCTGGTATTGGGGTTGCCTTCCCTGCCTGTGGCCCCTCAAGCAGCTCCAGGGTCCAAAGTTCCCAAAAGCCTTGTCTGTTGGAATGAACTCCCATACAACAACAGTGGCAGACCAAGCAGCCCATTTCTGCCAAGGAGGTAAACCAATGACTTTTGAGCATGGATTCACTGGTCTCACGTGAACCCAGCCATCCCTTGGCGGCAGCCTGCCTGACAAAACAATGGGATGGCCTCCTGAAGGCTCAGTTGTGGCACTGACTGGGGAAATGTCCCTCAGGCTTGAGTTTCTGTCCTCTAGAATGCAGTATCTGCCTTGAACTGACAACTGGTATCTGGTGTCCTGTCCCCCATAGTTACAACAGACTGGTCCAGGAGTGGCCTTGCTCACTGTCACACATCCACCCTTTGTGGGGCTTGGGCTTCCCATCTTGGCACACTTAGCCTTAGCTGGGTTAGAGGATCTAGTCCAGGGGTAGGGGGG